ATGCTGTACGTACCACGACTTACAAACATCAGCCGGATCAGCTCAAACCGTTCAAGACTAAATCCATGTTTTCTGACTGTTGTGATGACAGTGTTGTGATGGATAATTATAAATATAAAGCATAAGTCAAGGCTGCGGGTTGATGCCATCATGACACATGCACTCTAATGAGGACTGTGGGTGCTCTGCAGTGCCAGGGACTTCCCCCAAGGCACATTGAGCCGGGGTGGAATGGTATGTGATGCATACCAGATGTGATCGGAGACATCACACTGTTCACGTTGTTACTGCTAACCAAATAGTGGCAGCAACAAAAGCAAAAGATCATTTTTCCTCTGTTCACACATTCAAGGCATGATGCTGGATGTGTGTAAGACTGGTTTGAGCCAGGAGCAGAATAACACATTTCACAGGATTTTAAAAAAAAAAGAACTTCAGAGAGGATTGCACTTAAAAATACAGAGAGTTTGGTGACGGATACAGCACATGACAAAAAAACAAAGTCGCATTATCACCTGCTTCTCTCTGACAAAACAGAGAAAATACCCAATTTCTTGCCACTTTGGCAACGTTTCCTTAACATTCATCACGATTTAACCGTGTACTCGCAAGCATAAATCTGATAGTAGCTGCTGATAGTCATCCTCGAAGCCGGATGAGAAATCCTCTCTGTTACCTTACAGCATTTCTCGTGGAAACCAAGAGGTTTATCAGAGCTTGTAGATATATTCTGTGATTAGAGCCTCAGACCACATGATGGCAGCAAAAGAGATTCTTTAGCCAAATCTCAAAGACACGTCCAGATCTTGATGTTTCTCAAGAAAAGAAAAGAAAATTATATTAAGGATGGTAAGGGCAGTGAGATGAGACTTCTCCCAAAGTCAAACCTGTATATCTTGGGAGACAAGTAAAGGATTTTTTTTTTTTTTTTAAATAGGAAAATACATTTCTGCTACATGAAAATGTGTTTATTTTGTCTTATTAGGCCGAGCTGCTCACATCTTTGTAGACATGTCAGCAGTGATGGTGGAAATATTTAGATGTTTAACTACCTGCAGAGTACCAATGATGGTCACTAAAGCGTACATTCAGACTTCCAGGGTTTTACATGTAACAAACCTAAGCAAGAGATTCTGTCTAGATGTGCAGTGGGACTTACTTCATAATTATTTCTCTTCCGGACTAGTTTCACATTCAAACACACATGGCTCATTAGCTATGACTTGCCACAGAATAGTTTGACATCAGAGTTATAGGTAAGCTGGTGTGCTCAAGGTGCAATAATGACAGAAGGGTGAGTGGAGAGAAAGATTACATTGATCTGCACACTGTAGAAAAGAAAAAGTGTAAATACACCAAATAATTTTAAGGCAGAAATTCTAAATGTGTCATTTTGATACAAGTTTTAGGGGTTTAATCAGTGACTCATGATGAACTTTAACTGAAAGATGTAAAAATACTCGTTGAAAATCAACGTAATGCAGGCAAAGTACAAACAATAAACACTATAGTACTGATTGCACATGAAGCACTTATTGTTTTGTCTGTAGAATTAACTGAAGATGTCAAATAAATACAGCGGAGTGTAACAGTAAGATGTTTCCCTCAGATTTTTAGTGAGGAAGACGCGTCGAGTGTGAAAGCACGATGATAAAATACCTCCATGTGAGCTTCACTATAAGTAAATTCAGCTACTGCATAAGCAAACTGCTTTTTCATGGTGCAAAGTTTAGCGTCGTATAGCTGCTCTGCTTTCTTTCACTCGGTTAATATTTACTAAATGTCTCAACCAATCACATTAACATTCTGAATATACTGAAGAGATAACTTGACAGCATCAGGGCCATTGCAGTTTCACCTGCAAAAGTGGAATTGACTTATAACAGCAACTCTCAGAAGCACACATTCTCTTTGTGCTCAGCTTTTTCGGAAACTTAATTGCTGGCATTAAGCACTTGAGGGAATTGTGCGCCGTGCTTGTTAGGTGTTTGTGTGCAACACAACCCCATACGTTCTATTAATAAACTGACACCCTATTACCCTCTCTCTCTCTCCCTGCCTCTCTCTCTCTCTCCTGCTCTCTGTCTCTCTCTCTCTCTCTGAAATAATGAACAATAAGTGTCGCTGCTGCACCTCAGACACACACCAACATCAAGCAGAATGTCAAATGGCTGGAAGAACGGAGCGATTGACAGCAACCGGGCTCCACAAGGCATGCAGATTACTAAAAGCAAGTTCTGAATGTTCTTTTCAAACTTTCTCCACACGCCAGAGGGGAAAGTAGAAGTGTTGATCTGATGTGAAATGCTTGAAAGAGATTCTTGCAAATGCTCGCATTTAGAGGGGCGGATGTGACTGTATTGTGCCGACTGTTTTCACCTCGGTGCATACGTAGTACAGTGTGTAGGTGACCTGGGCTGTGTGCATCAAAAAAAACAAGACATCCGCCGGCCAGATGCCCTCAAGGCTTTCATGGAAATGTGAAAGTAAAAAAAAAAAGAATGTGCATTTAAAAAATAAATCAATAGGTTTCACAGAAAGATTAGAAAAATGTGTTATATAGATTTAGCAATTCCATAAAAAAAAAGGCAACATATGCGATTTTTATGCCACGGAAAGGCTTCACAAGTGCTCTATATACCAGTATAGGCACTGGTGAAGAGATGCGTTTCTGAATGTTTGACCTCGACCTTTAACCTTGCACATAGATCGCACTCTACCAACCTTTCTAATCCGCACAGGACTCTCAAATGACCAGAAAATGCATGAATATACAGTGCAGTGATCATTTAGACGGACTGTTTATGCACAGTGTTGCTCCTAACCAGCAGATGGTACTAAGTTCCATCCTGTAATCCAACAATCTCATGCATTCACTGGAAAAAAAACAGAATGTGTCCATTATTCAGTCTGGGACCCTGACCTGGTTGCACAAAGTGGTAAAAAAAAAAAAAAAAAATCAAGTATTGTGAGTGTTTCACCAAATGATTACTTCATATTGTGTCAATTGTAGCAGGATGTTTTAGATTTTTAATAAAGGTAAACACTGTTCATCCTCAGAGGCATTAAGCGTGCTAAATGCTGTTTACAGCGTGATCGATTCATGGTAGAAAAAGCTTTGAAAGAAAAACAAAAAAGACATGTCTTCCTCTGGTAAAAGGACAAAGCTGGAAGTAAAGAAAGGCACAATATTGTCCTCTGCGCCTCTTCAGGCAACACCACTAATAGCACCTGCTTTTGAACCTGGAGGCAAAGTTATTATTCTTATAGGGTCATGCATTAATTCATACACTTCATTAACATATGGTGTCTGAAGGAGACTTTGAAATTTTTGACTGATGCACGCAGTTTAAAGTTGCAGCTTAAACATTTTAACTCAGGATTAAGCAAAAGTCAATATTAATTTGACTTCCATACTTTTAGAAAGGCAAACATTTACAATAATGGGGGGAAATTTAGTGGAACAATCCTTTAATGGAAACTAGAACAGAGCTGTTATCTCTGTCTGCCTGCATCAGAGAGACCAAACATCAATAATCTCATTACCTGGGTCAAATATTACAATCAGATTTGCATTCCTGATCCCTGAAAACGAAGGGAAATCTGTTCGACTGTGGCGCCACGGTTTGTGTCAGTTGCAGAAGGAGGCCTGGAAACCTTCAGCAGTCCTTTCACCTGCTGAGGTGTTGGTCAGGAGGGCAGATGTTTTCTGGATTTGTTTTGAAATCGCAAAGCTGCATGCAAATCCTCAAGATGACCTACTTCTTCTCTTCCACATAGACACCGATAAAATCCATAAATTAAGGAAATTAACTGATGGGGCCCGGGGCCACTTTGTAAGCTATTTAAATCTTTAAATTTACAACATCCCTGCATACTTCATGTAATTGAACTAACTCCGGGCTTGTTTCCTTTAATGAGAAAAAACTCCAGTTTCCCCTCCAGTTTGTACCTCTGGAAACAACAAATCTGTGCCAGAGGGGCAGATAGGAGCGCTCTGAGGCGCGCTGAGGTCTCTCTAATTACGAAGATTTGGCCCGCTTCAAGGAGAGACGCATTCTCACACTCCCATCAGTCCTGCTGTCAATTATCGCCAGCGTTACTGTTTCATTTTATATTTAAATGCTTGCTATTTTATGCTCAGACTGCAGAATACAGCAGCACCAGGACAGTCCAGGTCCCCAAAAGTCAGAGGGGACATCACAGGGGATAAAGTTTTAAAGGCAGGAAACTTTAACAGTCCACAAGGTGAGCAAAACATCTCTTGTTGTGTCAAAGAAGAAGGTTCCAAATTGTGACAACATCTATGCATTTTTCTGTGGACCAATAATAAGTTCCTACACTGGTTGGCGCCAAATATCAAGAAACGATTCCAGCTCCGTCACGATGCTGGTACAGAGTAATTACTGGGCTCAGTGTTGCATCAATTATTCACAGTTATTTACCCGCAAATAAACAAACATGCAAATAAATAAATAATCATCTCCTTGGTGTGAGCACCTGCTTGACTCCCTGTTTCCCCCCCACCTCCTCCTTCACTCGGTGCAAAAGTGGCGCAACACTTTAGCGCTCCATCACATGCATCTGTCTGCGTAAAGGAGGAAGAAGGAAAAAAAAATAACAATAATCAGCCACAATCTTATTCCCCCCCCCCCCCTCCAAAAAAAGTCTGGAGGCTTCCTGCTTTCATTGGAGAGTGAGGAGGGGAGGGGAGGGGGGGGTGTTCTGGGCAGATATCTCCATCTAAGCCCTGCGCTATAATTGAAATGGCGCATTTGGCTGCAGGCAGGTTGTGAGGGCGCTTTCTGCAGCAGCATGCATGCATGTCCATAGACGTCATTTGATTTTAATGGCCTGCAGGAAATTTGGCGTTACAACTCCAGACATTAAGGCAAGAGAGAGAGAGGCAGAGAGAGAAAAGGGAGAGAGGGAGAGAGAGAGAGAGAGAGAGAGAGAGAGAGAGAGAGCGGGGACACGGGGGGAAAATCACCGCATGAGAGATATTGGTTCAAGGATATCTCTTCATTTTCAACATATTTTTTTTTTCTGCTGAGACTTTATCAACAAGTTATTGCGCCTTTATTATATGTTGCCTGAGTGGAGGACTATGGCAGCCCGGCTGGCTTTAAACTTTAAATTTAGGCTGGAGATGGAGATGGAAATGTATTCCTGCTAGCTGGACTGCCTGGGGAACTATTACATCAGACGAAATGACAATGATTAAAATCTGCTTTTTGCTGCTCTAAATCTATTGAGCGACTGACAGTTGCCTGTTAGGTTTCCTACCCCCTCTAAATCACAACTTCACACCGTTAAGGGGAACGGTCTACTTTTGCCGGAAAAAATAAGATAAGTTATTATATCTGTGTAGTCATAATTTCGGGAACAGGGGGGTATCACGTTTTCTTCCTTGAGAAAATTGCCTGGGCGAGAGAGTGGAGTTGAGCTAATTGTAGCCTAATCCCTGGCCCAGAGGCGCTTGGGCAGCCCGGAGCAAGAATTTTCTTTTTTAGCTCCGCTCTGTTATTTAGAGAAGGATTATTGGCTTTCTTCTTCTCATAACAAACCACAGGGGCAGTTTCATTTAGGCAAAAAGGCAGACAAGAAGCTGAAATACGAAGCAGGATTCCAACAAGAGCGCACATTTTACGCGTATCCAAATAAGAGCAGAGAAGGGGAAGGAGATCATCTCATCTATGTTCAAGGTAAGGACGCTTCCTGTGCGCTTTGGTACAAAGAAGCTTGGTGAGGACAGGTCGAGCCAGCCTTGCAATAGAGCCTTTAAAGCCACAGAGACTCTTTGCAAGCAGTCGATCCCGGCCACAACCTAGTGTCTTTTAGAGAAAGAAAAAAAACTGTTTTGTGTGGGATACGGAGAAAAGACTTGGCTTTTCCGTGCGGCAGTATAGGTCCGTATACCGGAGCTGGATGGCGGTGTAGTTCTGTCACAAACTCGGGGGCATTTGGAGAAAATATTTGAAAATTTTGGGGGTTACGCGGACAGCAGCTGGGACTGACCGCCGGCACGGATTTCCTCTGGACTCCCTACAATGTTTGAAACGGTAGGGTGACAATTTTATACTACAGAATCCAATGTTGTCTTTTTTTTTTTTTACGCACACAGTGCGGGCTTCACCAGTTTTCGAAGAGGATAGTTGAACTGTGCTGGGAGAGTGTGCTGCTCGACCCAAAGTGCCTTTTTCCTCCGTCTTTTCTCGCAGACTGAACAGAAAACACGTGTGGGTTTTATCAAACGGGTTGTGAATTACACGTGTCGGGATTATGCTTTTAATTGTACAGCAGGAATAAGACGCCATATTGAGAATTTGGTTAGATTAAAGGCAGAGCTCGGGCTGGTGCTGTTCGTGCAGAGTCGGGTGTTGAATCGCATTGTTTATTTTCCTCAACGTTTCCGTCCTCTTTCTCTGATTATTTTAATTCGTGGGTCCATCTGGGTTATGTGGATGTCATGAAGTGTGAAATCGACCACGGTGTCTGAGCTGGGGGTCAGAGGAGGGAGGGAGGCGGCAAGACAGCAGCTCTGAGGAGAAAGTTGATGCCTTTATATAGCTGCTGTGATTTTGTGGAGGAATTTATCCTAAATGATGTGTGTGTGTCTGCATGTGTGTGTGTGTGTATTAGGGGTAAAAAGAGGTATTGAATTTCTGATGCGATTGGGAGATTTATGCCTCTATTTTCCTTTTTTCCCCTTTCATATATCCACGTATGTTGTGATTTAATTGCTTAATTAGGTGGTGACACAGAGAGGAACCGGCGGTGGGACAGCCCGGTGTGTGTGTGTGTGTGTGTGTGTGTCCGTGTGCAAACTTCTTAAGTCTCTCCAAGTTTTTTTTTTTTTTTTGCTCCTTTCCTGGGATTTGAAATGTAATCCCGTCCTCCTGTAATCGTATTAAACGAACACGATACTGCTGTGAGAAGGGCAACACCCTTGGACAAAAAAAAAAGAGGCTCCAGTCTCACTTTATGCCCGGTGGCGCTTCTTGTCTCGGAGCCGCAGGGATGATCTGGACTTTCACAACCTTTTTCAGTTTAGCAGTAATGACAGTGAAACAGCCCAACAAACCGATCAGCCCTGCTGATATACTGAAGGCAGGAATTGTATTATCTGAATCTGTTTAAACCCAGAAACTCCCAAGTATTAGTAAAGGAAAGCTCTGTATTTCAGCCACAGCCTGCAGGCTCGGGGATACGCGCGTAATGATGAACTGTGACCTTTAGGCTGTGGTCACAACGTTGAAAGAAGTTCGGAACAGTAAGCGTTTGTTCATTTTCCTTTTAAGAACCTAATTTCCCATACAATCTAAATCAGCCTGGCATCGTGCCCTCCTTCTCTGATTTACAATATGCTTCCTAACCGACATTAAAACGTGGCCAGACTGAGGTTGTGTAGTTTACCTGCTGCTGCTGGCAAACAAATTACGCACCAGTAGGTTGGATATAAACGCCTCCTCTGCTCCTCCTGAAGCAGTGCGGGAATCAAATGGCGGCGTATCGAAGTGAATTAAAAATATTTTCTCAAACATTTCATCAGTAAATCAAATTGTGCTCCGCGCTGACCTCGCCGTGCCCCGGCGTGCTCCCAATAAACTCCAGTCCCAACTGTGTGCCTCCGCAGTGCGAGCTCTCTCTCTCTTTTTGTTGTTGTTCTTTTGCAAGACTGTGTTAAAACGTGATTTGGGGCCACAGTGTTCGTGGAGTTGGACGCTTAGTGGATTTGGCCTGTCATGTGGACAGCAGCCTGATGCTTTCTCTGCTTTGAGCTGAATTCTGGTGCGTTTTTACGCATGTTTAGTCTCATGTGCCCATAAGTGTGTGTGTAGTCACATGACAAGCGATCACCTTAATCTTTTTTTTTTCCCTTTTTTTGAGAGTTGAATGTGTGGGTATATGTGTGTGTGTTGGAGGAAAAGTTGCACCCTCCCTCCCCGCCGTGTTTTCCTTGCTCTCAGATTGGTGGTTGGGGTGTCTGGGCGCATCACGTCTAACACATAAGGCGACCTTTAATTAGAATATTGCAGCAGCAGTTTATTTTATTCCCCTGGAGGCTGACACCTAGCATTCCTCCCTCTTTCTTTCCCCCCTCTTTCTCTCTCTCTCTCTCTCTCTCTCTCTCTTTCTATCTCTCTCTATCTCTCTCTCACCCCGGTTCTCTAATAAGCATCCTCCTATCCTCGCCCGCGGTGCTGCATGAAAAGATGCAAACATACTTAATTAGAGCGGTGGCAATAATTTCCAGGCTAAATATGCGACCAGACAGACATGGAAGTGATCTGATACCATTCAGAGAGGATACTATCTACTTCCCTGTGTAGGATCACTGTGTTGACTCTTTTTTTCCCCTTTACCTTTATTCCCATGGCTTTTCTCTACACTTGCTTTCAGGAGGGAAGAAGCATGTCACGGCTGTCTCTGACCCGGTCCCCGGTCTCTCCTCTGGCCGCCCAGGGGATCCCTCTGCCGGCTCAGCTGACCAAGGCGAACGCCCCGGTGCACATCGATGTCGGGGGACACATGTACACCAGCAGCCTGGCCACCCTCACCAAGTACCCAGATTCAAGGTAAGACACGTCCCTGGCTTTCTGTCATGCTTTACTCACTTTATAAATTCTTTTTCTTATTTATTAAAAATCACTGTTGAGGCTGGATTTGGGTCTTGTTGCTTTTTTTTGTTTTAAATGTGAGCCAGTTCTGCGTTTATGGGAACTGAAGTCTCTTAATCCACCTAATAGTGGAAAACATTTCCTAATTAAATCCTCAAGTAGATTTAAATCTATCTCTGTGTAATAGCTTCATATTGCATTTTAGTCAGTGAATCAGTTATTACATTATTTGACTGGTGTTTGTCTCAATTAAGTCTAATTGGATTTGTGATGTTAACAAGTCATTTAGCTGACTGGCATTGGGACAATTGTGCTGCAACTTTTATAGTGATAATTAGCCTCCAAAGCTATTATCTTTCCAAACCATGTGGGAACATTTCTGCTGCCTTCATTATTTCTAAACCCCTCTTACCTTTAAAATGATGGATTTGATTGTTTTTGTCTGTTTTAATGGTGATTATTTTAATTGTCCAATAAATACCTCCCAAGCTTTTATTTTTTATCTCCTTTCATGAGGTATCTCTGGCACGTGTTACTGCTGATGAGAATGCTAGCGTTTGTGTGAATTGACAGCACACAGACAATTTCTCTCTCTCTCTCTCTAAACCTCCCTTTCACAGACTTTTAGTTTTCTTTTTTGCCAGCAGATCAGTGGTGCTGTTAGGAATCCTTGGAGGAAAAACAATGACGTAAATGTGCGGAACCCTGTCATCAGAGCTGATGTAGGGCAGCTTCAAATCTGATTAAAATCTAGCTCATTGGCGCGTTACATATTGATTTTGTTGGCTATTTTAGAGCCAGAATTTACCACTATTACATCTTCTTTATTGTCATTGCTGGTGCTCGAACGCTGGGCTATCTTCGAGGTGTATTTTAATAAAACACTATATACTCCTGTTTTGTGCGGTAATATAATCATGATATAATTTTATAACCCACTTACTGTCCCTCTGCCTACCCCCCACACTTTCAATTGATTGCAACAGAAGCCCAAAATATGGATTATATTGCAGTCAAACTTTCAAATGTTCACAGCTACAACAGTGACTTTTCTATTAACTTAATATGTGTGTGCAGAGAAAAGAAAAGCCCTCTTCTCTCTCACACTTCTGATAGTTATGTTCACAAGGTTTATATTTTTGTCGCACTTCACACTTGTAACATTTAGTCATGATGATTCAGATTGTGTAAGAGCTGGTGGTAATCCGTCCTCCTACTTTCTTCACGTTTTTAGCTCCATCCACAAACAAGGTGACACCACCGACCGGAGGTAGCTCTGCAAGCAAATAAAACTAATAATATATATATATTAAAAAAAAATCTTCTCTCTCTCGCTCTGATTTGAATTTTCCTCCTTTATAGTTTAGGCCCCGCTGTGTTTTCTCCTAATGCAGTGTGTCATTCGTTGCATTATACTGGTTTCAATTCGGCATCAGCTGAGTCCCATGTGGGCCAGCGTAAACATACACCAGGTTGTTAGAAAATCTGCCAAATTGGCTACAGGAAACAATCCACATAATCCCTTGGTAATAAAGTCTTGATATTCATGGAGTCCGCTGACAGGAAATCCCTGACAACTCTCCCTTTTTATTCCACTGCAACATGTCATGAGAAAAATAAAGCTCAACCCAGACGAGGGTTTATCTTTGTTTTCGTTGTTAAGGCGATATTTTTTTTGCCTCCTTCTGTTTCACTCCTATATTATGTTTATCCAGCGGATATAGTTCATAAATTTCAGTTTCATTTTCCGTCCCTATTTGTGTATTATGTCTATTGTGTTCCATTATTTTTTATGCTCAGATGCAGCTTTACACTTTACAAAGAAGTTATTCATTGGGGGGGACACACACAGGGCACCGTGCAAATGCAGCACAGAGTCATGTCAGAGCATCCAAACAGTGTTTTTACAGTGCGAGTAAAGACCGGATATCAGTGTGAGTGTTGGTTGGAGTGCTCTTTGCTCTTTCTCTCTCTCTCTTTTTCACACATGCTCCTTAGCTCGGTCTCTCTTTCTCTCTCTCCCTCTATCTGTCTCTTGCTGTTTCTTTCTCACTGTGGATCACACACACACACACACACACACACACACACGCATACACTCAGTGTTTCTCTCTCCCAGCCTCCTCAGCGTACAGTTGGCCTCGGGGCTCCACTTTCCACTGGAGCCAGTGGAAGGAGGGGCCCTTTTGTGTGAATTAGGATAATGGCTGACAGCAGAAAGCAAAACAATTACACTGGCACAACCGTGTACGCCGCGTTCAGCCACGTCCGGTCCAGCACTGGCAAAAGCTGGAAACGTGACGACTGAAAGAGCAGGGTTAAGGAGTTTGAAGTTGCTGATTACTTTTAATAGATTGGCCCCTAAATAATGCAGCATGCCAAGAGAAAGTTAGTCTAGTAACTAATGTGTGGCTATTCATCTTCTTCTGTGTGGGCCATATTAAGGGACAGGGGTCATGAAACATTGATGCGCACTCTGTGTAGCTCTCAAAGAGGACAGTCTCAGCAGTCACTTGAACAGAAGCTGAGGAAATTAGGGGAAATGTTCCACAGACAAGGAAACTATTTTGAAAGGACCACTGGACATTTTTCTCTTTGAAGACGAGTCGTCTGTGTCCAGAGATGATAGATCTGCGCTGGCTTTATGCTTTTTTAGTGGTCCTCCATATCTAGTAGTTAACTTTTCTATAAGCTGCGCTCACTATAAATAACACAGCAGACGATTATATCATCATTCACTTTACATAAGATTCAGGAAAAAAGCTGTGTTTCCTTTCATTTCCCTTTAATTTCATTCTTAAGCCTTTGTTTTTAGGGTATATGGCACGAACGCAGTGCCATGAGCCAAAGTAAAACTAACTGTTAAATAAGACTTTTAGTTCTATTTACTTAACGTTAAATAATAACGAGAATTAATTGTTGCTCTGTAGCAGGAATAGTCACGTTACGCAACCGCAAAGTAACAGATAAAATGTTTTTGTGAACTGCAGAAAAATACTGTGACTGTTTGCAACACATATTGTCAGAACAGGAGTGGAGATGTTTGTATTAATGCAGTCAATTTATCTGTTTATAGTATGCACAATTGAGTTTCTGAGGGAAAAAAAATCCCATCATGGACCCATATGGGCAAATGTGGGGCAATAAAGCTGCACACAATGAAAGTTAATCCCAGAGCAGAGTGTAGGAAGCTTTCGTTGCTTTTGCTGATTGTATTGACATGTTAAAATGTGAAACGGCGTGAAGAGTTACGCTGGAACTTGGTTCTCATGAATTCTTCATAAGTCATGATGCTCAGCAAAAGTAAAAATTGTATTCCTTGTTTTGAAACTTTTATCACGCACCCTTTGGGAGAGCTTGTTTGGAAAACCATCAGTTTATCGAGTATTTCTCCAGTTGCTTTGAGCAGAACTCAGCGAATGGGGAGCCAGTGACAGCAGCGATCTGGGTTTTGAAGCTCCTCACTCTTCTAGTCAGAGTCACTGTGGTCAGACCTGTCAGGCTGCTCGAGCTCACCGAGACCCCTGGGTGTGTTTGCTTCACTTTTCAGGAAGCTGGCCGGTATGCTGCCTTCATTAGGCGTCCATTAGTGCTTCAGCTTCCAGATAGCATCTGTTGTAGTAGAATCAGTGATACCTGCGCCGGGTCCTCCTCCCACCTCCGGAGGACACGTCTCTGGCAGCTCTCCGCCGCTGGCCGGCTGGAGCTGCTGCAGCGAGGTTGCTGCCAGATATTGCCCACCTACTGCCCCGCTGCCTGCCCTCACTTGGCACCGCTGGGGTGGGAGATCTGAGCTGTTCCTGTCCTTGATAACCTCCTACACCCACCACCTCCCTCCTTCTCCCTGACTCTTTCTCTTTATCTAAGTTTTGTAGGTCTGTCAAACCTTTTTCTCTCCCACACTATCTCTCTCTGTGCTCTTTCCTCTTCTGTATATTTTCTTCTTCTGATTTCTCTGTCGTAGCATCTCCGTCGTTCCCTCTCTTCTTCCTCCCCATCAATCTCTTTGTCTTTTGGCCCGTCTGTTTGCGTGTCTCTTAATTTCTCTATGCAGCCCCCACTCTTTCCACACACACACACATGCACACACACACACACCACACATACACCCTTTTCTCTGCCTACCTGTTAAAAACAACCCCCCCCCTCCAATTCAGGGATTTAACAGAAAAGGGAAAAATGAGGAGACCAACACAGAAGAGAGAGAAAGAGAGAGAGAGGGAGAGAGAGAGAGAAGGGAGTAGAAGAGAGGGAAAGAAAAAGAAAAACAGGCAGCATTTTAATTGCTTTTTAAAAAAGTGGAGATGAAAAACAGAGTTAGCCTGGAGGGGTATGGTGAAATTCTAGCTGGAAGAATTGCAAGACCATATGAGAAAGGAACACCTCGGGCAAAACAGGGAGATGAGTATTGGTTTTTTATAAAGCATTTTGCATCGATTTCCAGAGAGAAAGCGAGTAAGGGAGAAGGATGGAGACAGAGAGAGAGAAAGAAAGAAAGACAGAGGGAGTGAAAGAGAGAAAGGATGGCAGAAGGGGAGAGAAGGGAGGGAGAACCATCTTTGCTCTGCTTCTTCACACAGTCAAGTCAAAGAAAAGAGACAGGGCGAATTTGACTTCATAGCTTCATCGTGTGGAGCCGACACATCGGGGTCAGGAGATACATGATACAACCGTTAAATACGAGCTTACGCACTTTTACAAAGTGGAGAATTGTAAATTCAGTCAGATGAGTCTGAAAGTGAACACGGTCCTGCTGTTTGTTCATTTACATTCCCACTATGGCTCCAGTGTCTCGTAATAGAAATTGACAACACCAGAGCTCAGGCAGCGCCGCATGCGTGCATTGGTCGGCGTGTTTGCAAATAGGTTTTATGATTTTCTTTGTCATGCAACTTTGTCAGCCAACCTAGAAGCTGTTACTGTGATTGAAGTGCTGATTACTCCAAAATGATGATAATAACAGCGACGCGGCGCTCTGCCAAGAGCTGTTTCTCAGCGAGACGATGTAGTACTGTAAATGTGCAGCGAGGCCGTTAAGGAGGTTACGTGCAACAGATTTCTTGTGTAAATCAGTAGTACAGCTTATTTACACTGCGCAGGCATTCCAGGTTTCTGTGCTGAGGGTGAAGCAAGATGTGTTTCAAAATGAGTCACCAAATTAAAGTGAATTATCGCTCTTCACAGTGCGGAAAGTTTAACAACATGGAGCGCTTGCACAAACCCCGTCCTCGATATTTACTCACGCTTTAAAAAAAGGAAAAAAAAGTGTTTTTTAATTATTAAGGAGGGATATTTAACATTTGGAAATGAACAAACAGATAGAGTGGAGGTGCCTGGATGAGATTATTAGACCAGCGAGAGAGGGACCTGCAGGTAAGCGGCAGGAAAACCACACAAAGACGAGGGGAAATGAATATCTGTCCAAGGGTATCTCGAGGCACGGCGCCAACGTGGTGTGATGAAAGTTTAAAGATAACAGCAATTTCCACTCTTTGCCTTGATGAGCCCCTGTAGCCAACTTCAACTAAGCCCTTAATCTTGCGGTACACTAGTGGAAGGGGTTAACCGTGGGACGCCAGGCAGCAACAAGTGTCTTATTATTGCACCAAAGTCTTGTCAATATTTGCTGAAAGCTTAACAGCATACATCTAATTACTGTTTTTAGTTAATTGTTGGGACTTTTAGTAGGAAAACAGTATTGATGTAATTTTGGGTAATGTTATTTTCATTATCTCTTCAGTTATTTTCTCTTTTAAACTATACAGCCTTTAGATATGAAACAAAAGCGTCTATAGATTCACGTGGTGCGTTCGGATGTCCTGCACAATTAATATGCATTTAACTCAGGCTGATCAGTACATTTATTATAGGAGAAACTAAATGAAAATGCAGCACACCTTGGTGGACTGAAGTCATGTTTTTCCTCCAAAAATACACCCCTGACAACAAATATTTGTATTTTTAAAGGCAAATATGTTGCGTTTTCTTTTATGTCATCTCATAAAACTTGCAAAGATTTCAGAAGAAATTTGTTTGATTTGAGTCATGAATTCATCTTCTGATCAATATATCTGCAGAATTTCCTATCAACACAACGCAGCACATGAAGGGCATCCCTACAAATGCTCCCTCTGTGTTAAACACAAACAGTGTGGCATACAGTATAGGAGAGCAAATTTCTCCTAAATTCAATCAAACTGTAAAAGTAAAATATCTTTTTTCCACATGTTCTCCCTCAAATTAATATGTGGCCCTTCACCGTTTCCTCCCTGTGTTTCATTTCCACCTCTCTGACAGATGGAATAATAGAGCTGTAATGCTACATTCATGCCATTAATTTCTGTAAGTACAAGCAGCAAGCGCGTGTGTTGTTGTAATCTCTCTGCAAAAGGGACACTTCAAACAAGTCTGAAATGGAGGAACTGTGCCTTAAGCCCCTTGTTTCAACCTGGGATGCTAATGCATTTCAAGCTTAGTGCTAATAAAATTGAAAAATAAATGGAGGGTAATTGTTTCATGCATTTCGAAGGGAGCTGGCTCATTCCGTCGTGTGCCTGTGTTTGTGTGTGCGGCTGCCTGTGTGTGTGTGTGTGTGCGCGCGTGTTTGCGTGTGTGTATTTCAATTTTCAGAATCAGTCGTCTGTTCAATGGCACCGAGCCCATCGTGTTGGACAGCTTGAAGCAGCACTACTTCATAGATCGGGACGGCGAGATATTCCGCTACATTCTCAGTTTCCTCAGGACCAGCAAATTGCTCCTTCCAGATGACTTCAAGGTATATATCCGCACCAACACATACTGTACTGTGTGTCACAACATAACAACACAAAAAAAAAAGCACGTAAAGCTGTTTGCCCAGACATGCACTGGTGTTGTCTCAAATTCCCTTTTTTTTTTTTTTTTCCCACATTTTTCTGAAAATAATACTTTTAAGTCTAAATATGTTTGTTTGTTTGAATGTTTACCTGTCCTCTCATTGGTGGCTTGTTTCCAAAACAGCACTGATGCCACAACAGAGCCACTAGTTGTGTTTTCACAATGCAGACTCACCCTCCTCCCATTCAACACATTAATTACCTGTAGTATAAGCATAAGCAGTAATTAGGAATTGTGGAGAGAGAGAGAGGGAGTTAAAAAAAAAAAAGAAGAAGAAGCACGACTCGGCTGGAGTACACAGAATGCTAACTGGCTAACGGGAGCATGGCCTGGCGATGTGTGTGCCAAAGCCCTGAGCTGTTGTTTTTCACCCGGAGTAGTTTTGTGTAGAGGTGAGCCCAGGTGAAACATCCTCAACGCCCCTCTGCTCGGCCGCATTCTGATGACGACCTCCCACGCAGACAGAAAGTCTCGCTCTGAGTCAGGGACTCGCAGGGAAAGGTATGGAATGTAGGAGCAGTTTAATACCTGCTAGCGTGTTTCTTTATCCATATATACATGCAGCTGTGCACACACACCCTTTACTCTTTGCGGCCCATTGAGTCCGCTTTGGTCCAGATTAGACTAATGGGGCAGCACACGTGGCTCTTGTTCTGGTGTCTGCATGATGTATTTACCATTTTTAAATGATCCAAAGCACATGTTTATGGCGACACAAGTTTGATTTCTAAGAATGTTTTTGTTGTTTCTGTACAAGCTGTTATTAGGTTATTGGTGAGATGAATATAGATGATTTTTGATGTGAGCTGTGCAGATTGATTGATGGAGTCAAACAGTAAGGATTGTTTGAGCTAACAGCTGTTAAAGTGGAATGTGTTCAACTTTAAAACGGAGCAAGATTAGTATTTATCTCCGAGTCCAATGTCCAAAATATCTGTTTTCATAATGTTCACTTCGCCAGCTTGTTGCTAACATTGTCTGCCTGCTGTTTGCTTCTGGCCAGGTGTCATTTAGTTGATATAGCAGAGCTTTTTTTTTCTTTAGCGAAAACAGCTGCCTGCTGCTGAAAATGAGCAGCGTTCATAAGGGCGGTGAGAGAGAACCTAAATGATGAAGTTACCGCTATAAAGCCAAAACAACGAGCTGAAGGATACTAAAATGCCTCGTACAGCTGGAATGAACACAATGAATGAAAATTCCTGGCAGGACTGTCGATACGTGGTCCGCTTTCATACGGCGCACAGTGGGTCATATAAAAAATAATGAGAAGGTGCATTTTTGGCATTACTAGCGAGCTCGTGTCACCTAACAAGTACCCACACAACCATATGTGGCTTTGTCAGAATCATTATATATTCTGCCCTCAGCACCTTCCTTCTCAAGGTTTTTATTCAGTGAATCTGCTTCCTAGGTGTATTCTACTCTTCAGTTCTACTCCACCTTAACTTGCGTGACCTTTTCACTGGGCTGGCGCTTGTTCATCATTCTCTACAAGGTAACAAGGCGAGGCCAAGCCACTCAGAGCCAGGGGCAAACTCTCCGGGCCTCACGGATAGTCTGAACAGGAGCCAAACCTCAGACAACAGAACATGACATGAAAGCCCTGCATATTTTGGCAAATGATGGCCTGAGTCAGTACCGATTAGTTTTTCCCTTCTTATTCATGCTTCCCCCCCTTTTTTCTGTGAAGTCTTGACAGTCCAATCAGGCACCACGCTTGAAGAGAATGCATTGGACTTCATTGTTTCAACTCATTACGATCCCCTCACATAAGCCTCTGTTGATCTGCATACCTTTCAATTTGCGTGAAGCCGGGGAAAAAAAAAATGCAAATAGTGCGAGGCGGAATTGAGCATGTCCTTATCTGAACACAATCAGGCTTGCCGTCGCCCGAGGGCTGGGTCTGTTCTGCTGCTGGCAGCCACGGCGCTGTGTGTTTTGCTAAATCAATGTGAAAGTCTGAGCAGAATAGGAAAAGAAATTTTTCAGCCTACATCAGTGGAACAAAATATTCACTATTAATATCCTCCCTCATCTCATTATTCAAACTACAATTAATCACGAGAGTGTAAGCAATGCTCAGTCATATCGAGGGCATGGTTATAAACCGGTAAGAGTTAGTGGTTTCTGTGTTGGATTACTCAAGCTTTTGTATTGCTCTTTAAATCAATTCTTCCGTACTTTACGTATCAAAAAATAACAGACAGGAGCTTGTGTTTTTATTTTTTTGTCTCCGCTGTATGAGAGTTGGCTGGATTTTTCTTCAGCGACTTGTTTAATCAACAACCTGTGAAGCTCCACTTGCGTGGGTTTGGTCATTTTTTTGTCCAAAACATATGGTAGGTCTTTATCCGTCCTCCGACTCCCTCATAGTGACATTTTCCATCATTTTCTTCTTCTTCTCTTTCTCTGTCTCTCCCTCCCTCTGTCCTTCCCTGAAATGTTGCCTTGCCGGTGGGCGATCAGGTCGGATCATTATTTTGAAGCTCAAACGGGCTGTCTGGACACGGGATTGGGGGATGAATTGTCTCGTAGAGCTGGCAGCAGTAGCAGCAGCTTCAGCAGCCAGGACGGAGCTGTTGGCCCTGTCTCCCTCTCATCCTCACCTCAGCGCTTAGGATTACTCTGTTGTTTTCTGCGCTGCTCAGGATGACTAAAGTGCCTCGCAGACAGACCCCTGTAAAAAACATATCCATCCATGGCTTCAGACCTGTGAAGGATGAGGAGCTACACTTTGATACAGAGAGCTGCCTGAAGGGGAGCGTCTCAGTATGAGTTTTGTCAGCTGCAGCAAGAAGGCCAGGAGAAAAAAGAAAGGGAGAAAGGGAGAGAAAAAGGGAAAAAAAAGGACCTCCACCCCCTCTCTCGCATTCTGAAATCTTAAATATTAGACCGCCAGCTTAAGATGTGTTGCGTCAACGCTCCGTCCAGATGGAGTTGTATTTGGGTGTCGTTCACACGCCTCAGATGAAGGCACAGTTTAGATGAAGGGGTAAAACAGTGAGGGAGGCTTTTCAAGGCTAAAGAGTCTGACAGAAGCAGCAGGGTTAATGAATATGCTGTTTGCTGCCATGCTCTGTTTCTGTGCCCAGCAGTGGTCCGGGGAAGGAAAGGGGAAAAAACCCTTTTTAGATCAGGGCTCCCTGGCAGCCCCGGCACCCAGCACCCACAGCCACCAATGATGCAGACTATATGAAACATATGTTGTTTTTGCAGCGCAAACACACATCGTCTCACTTTTCAAGGGTGTTCAGACTTTTCGCTGCACCACAATCAGCATCCTCATCCTATCTGTATCTGTTAAATATGTAACCAAATCAGATGTTTGATTTGATTTTACAGTGTCCATACGCTGAAGCTAGCTGTAGCCAGGAGCGATGAACCTGTGTGTCATGTCAGAATAAACTTTGACTGTCAATGATGGCAGGTAATAAACTAAGAATGAATTAAGCTGTCATTCTTTGTCACTGCGAAACACTAATCGGAGCACAGATTTATTAATTACTAATTGTTTAGCAGAAAGATTTGCAGCATTTAGGTGTAACCTAATTAAATCTTGTTCTAATAGGAGCTTAACATCGGGCCACAAGCCTCATTAACATAAAACTCCCTCCATGTGAGGAATACATTAAAAACCTCCTTGGCTGATGATTGTCCTCATGTTCACTTGCACGTATCTTTTCCTCACCTCCCGTCTGCCTCCAATAGCGAACCTCCGCCTCCCCGTATTTTCTATGGTAGCGGTGAATGATGGTGCCATCTGGTCTTGTGGGAAATTAGAGGCAAGAGCGCAGGGGCAAATGGCCCCCAGCAAGCCCTGCCCGGGAGGGAGAGTCAGGCAATCTGCTGCTGACTGTCTGCACACAGGAATGCACCATCCCACTTCACTGGAGCCCTACTGACGGCCTTTCTGGAGTCGGCTCACTAAAACATGCTAAAGGCTAACGCAGCTCTGCCAAGAGCTACTGTGGAGGAGAGCTGCAGCATGGCTATGCTGTGTTTATTGAGAGTGTTGTCCTGCTGGTCGGAGGCCATCACTGATCTTGGTTTATTGTTCTTCTTTCCAGAAGATGTATTACATGGAAACAAATGAGATGTTTCGTGGGCATTAGATATCTTTAACTTCACAAGGACATACAAAGGTCATATTTTCACATTTATGTTTGCGGTGTTTGTCTGATGCTTATCCAGATTAACTTACCAGGAATGCTGGAGTGCAAAAAACAACTCCTACATGGCTGTCATTACGGCACAGTACGATGGATGTATTTGCCAGGAGACACAGTACCCTGATCTTTGCACTCCTTAGGAAAAGTTTGTTGAAAGAAACAGTCAAGAAAAAGGGCACACATGCATAGAAAATTGTTTTCTAAAAGAAGTGTTGCAGGACACTGATCCATCAGTTATTCCTCCGTTCACACCTGTGCTGCACGGTTGGTGTTTCACTACTGTAGAAGGGTCAAAGTGCAGACACAGACAGAGCAGCTTTCCTGGAGTAATTAGAGGTTAAGTGTCTTGCTCAAGGACACTTTATCATTAGTTGCTGTGGGCGAGCCATCAGGCCCCCCCCACAAACATACCCTCTACTGTCATCTTAATGTTGCACAATGCTGTGTATGTGTAGGGTTTCGTCTCTGTGACCTTGGTGATGAGCTGTAATGTAGCGAAAGTCACAGTGCGTTAGTCACACATATAGCCAAGAGGACTGTAACACACATGCAAACTCACTGCTCTCATCTCCATGTTCGTCTGCCTGCACAGGACTTCCACCTGCTGTACGAGGAGGCGCGCTATTACCAGCTGACACCCATGATCAAAGAGCTCGAGCGCTGGAAGCAGGAGCGCGAGCAGCGGCGGATGGCACAGCCCTGCGACTGCCTGGTGGTTCGAGTCACGCCCGACCTGGGCGAGAGGATCGCCCTGAGCGGGGAGAAGGTCCTCATAGAGGAGATCTTCCCTGAGACTGGAGACGTTATGTGTAACTCAGTCAACGCTGGCTGGAACCAGGACCCAACACACGTCATCCGCTTCCCCCTCAATGGCTACTGCAGGCTCAACTCAGTCCAGGTAACTCACCACAGTGCTTGCCCTCTGGACCTGTAGTTTCACAGGTGGTTGCACAAAAAAAAACACCTCCCCCTTTGCATGTGGTTCATCTTATTTAATCTACACATTTATGCCAAACACAGCTACAGAGTTTTACACAAGTTTTATTATATGTCCTGACAGCAGCAGGACGTCCGTCTCTGTGTAAGATGATGTTTGTTATTGTCATTGTTGATAACTAGTGAGAACTTCCTTACACTTTTACTATTTCTTACACGAGGAAACTGAATATCATCCAGTTCAGAATAAAACAAGGGTAAGGTGTCGAATAATTTTGTTTTCTGAATTATATTGAACCATGAATTTCAATTCTTCTAAATATAACCAAGATTGAAAAATGTATGACTCTGACTTGACATTAGCATTTATTAAGCTTCCTGACATTAGAGGCTTGTTTCACACAGATGTTGTTGCCTGTTTTTACCTCTTCTGTCTTAGAAATATATTTTTATACTCTTGAATTTTTGCAATGTTGTTCAGTTTGAAAAAGTCTTAAGCAAACGAGAAATAACCAGCATAGTCAAAAACAGTTTTACATCAATTTTGAAGTCAAAGTCTTTCTAAAAACCAGAAGTCACAGTGTGATGAAAACGGCAGGTTGTGTTTTTACGACTGGAAGAAAAGTTGGTTGATTTAACTTAACTCAGAAAATGAGCAGTCCTGAGCTGCGGGAAACACAACCTGCTTTCTTATACAAAGTCGATTTCAGTGCCGCTGTGGTCCCGTGAATGCGGGTGAATATCTGCATTCTCTCTGTAGTTTGAAGGTGGAAAGGGCTTGTTGTGCTCTAGGCGCACAGAGTTGTCCTGAGTGTGGAGATTATTGGGATAAAATTAAACTCAGAGCAAGTCAGGGGGGTTTGACTGGGAATTACACACTAACAGGGTAGGTAGCTTGGACAACAAAAACAAAATGTAACACAGTAAATAGCAAAGCAGGTGTGCATTTACATGTAAAAGTGACCTCCCTGTTAACTGCAAACCAAACATAGCATCTAGTGAAGCTAACAGTGGAGCTGAACTTGGTGGCTGCTGCAGGCATTTGGTTAAAACGCACAATAAGCAGTAAGGTTGAATACTTCTTGGAAAAAATGCACAATAACTTTAAGTGGGACACTCACAGCAGATTCATAAAGTGTTAAAGTGAATCTCTTAACACATTATGTAATGTATATCATCACAAGATGTGACTGTAACACAATGAAACAGTTGTGTGCGCTGTATGTGTGTCACACAAAGCACTGCAAGCTGATGTGTTTCTAATATGGAAGCTGGCTTTTTACTTAAACAGCTCAGTTGGTTGTTAAGTGTTCACTAAATATTTATTTTTTCAGGGATAAAAAGCATTATTCTTTTGCGTTGTTAACTGTAACGCCTCGTCTACATTAAATCTAGATACTGCATCCATTAAGATTTAATTTGGCATTTCGGATGTCGTGTGTGATCAGTTCGCTCTTCGAGATTAGCCACAGGATGCACATTCCACTGAGACATTTCACTTTTGAGTCCGTCAACATGACTGCACAACACCTTTTTCCACCTTAATCTATCCAGCAAAGGATTCTGCTGAGCAAGCAAACCATTTTTCACAACCACCCTTCAACACTTTCATACACACTTAAACACCTGGCTGCCATTTGTAGTGTACAACCAGGGCTTTGATGGCCACTGTGCAGCTCCACTTAGCCGCTTTACGCGATGGAATCTGCTGAGGGAGAGGAGTCTGCTCGCTCGGTCAGCCTCCGAGTCCCTTGTCAGTCTGTGGATTTCAATTTCATGTCGTTTGCCGGGATAAAGGCGGGTAAATGCACTGCTGGTTTTTTTTTTTCTGTGACTGTAAGCTGGAATTTCACCTCAGAAGTTTGCTTTAAGGCAGTTGGTGTTGTTGATTTGTCTGCCTTTGTATTGAAGTTTGCCACAGTAGAGATAATAGCTTGTTGTCACTAACTGGGCTAATGGCTGCACTGGAGCAACAGCCAGAGCGCATGGAGTATTTCATTCTCTGGGAGTTTCTCTTGTAGCATGATGAGAACCTGAACCTTTTCTTACTTACACTTTGAATATTATCTCAAATGCATTCCATCTTCAAATGAGTTAGCTACTTGTTTGAAAAATGGCCTGAGATGTCCAGGCTCCTTTGTTAAAGCAGAGCTGATCAGGGCGTTGAGCGAAGCAGTAAGATGTTAAAAACAACTTCAGAAAACTAGTTTTATAGTTGTGCTACCCAGAAAGGTCTAAGAGAGGGAGAACAGGGGGGGGAACATAACAGTCTCACACCACAGGCTCGATATAACACACTTGAGTGCCCACAGCCATGAACAAACCAACACATGGAGGAGCCTTCACCCCTCCAGCAGCCACAGAGAGCCTCTCCCAGGCAGGCTAGTGCACTCTGGCACCTCCACCTCCTTCCTGCCAGTGTGAGAGACCACCTCCAGGGAGGAGAGCGGAGCGAGTGGGACAAAGCACGTGTGGACTGCGGCCATGTTTTCCTGCGAAAAAATGAAGAAGAGAAATGGAAAGGGGGGAAAATGATATGCATAATTTACGCTTTACTCCTTTTTAAGACACAGCTCCTTTTTTAAAAAGACTCCAATATAACACCGCTCAAGGCAATTGAAATACACGTATTGCATTTTTTAATACCATACTTACAATTTCTCAAACAGCCTAAACCGGTTTATACTTCTTTTATAGATTTTTAAATGACTTACAATATAATTAATTGGCCGCATCAACTAACACAACATTTTCCCACTCTGTTTACCAGTGAGACTGGTTACGGGATGTGAGCACATCTGACTAATACGATCTGAGAGAGAGTCTTTATTGTTTGGGTTTTTATTGGGCTGCTCCTCTGAAGGCGAGGTGAGCTGAAATCCTCTTTTCAGACAAACAACAAGAGGAGCTGGATCTTCAAGGTTCCCTGTGAGCGATGCTCCCTCTTGTCTCAAATTATGGCCCGTCTCTGTGAAGGCGCTTTTTAGTTGTGGTGTCTTTTCATTTTATTTTTTTGTCTCGTGGCGGCCCCTTTAAGACACACCGATACACAACATTCCCCCTAAAAAAACAATCAGAAGCACAAACTCACATACTGTACGCACGCACAGTGGAGGGGCCCGGCTCATTGAGTCGATGTAGATGAGGACACAAGGAGCAGATGGAGGTGTTTTTCAGTGTAAGGGGAGATTTTTCTAAACAACTTACTCATTCTGTCCTCTCTCATTGTTGCGTGAAGGTATGAGAAGGTTAGGAAAATAATCCTCGTCTTACCTGCCAGACAATGAGCCTCTGATCTGATTTCAGGCCTGGACCCCGACCCAGGGGAACGCTACCACACCCTGCCCAGGGAGAAAGTGCGTGCACGGGGGGGAGGGATGTTTACGGAGATGCAGCGCTGTCTGAAACCTATTTACTGTATGAGTGGGCTGGTTTTTGAAGAGCTCTTGACAGGAAAGAGATGGAAACATGACAACATTTAAATGTTATTATATGTCATAGAGATTTTATGGAAACTAAGTTAGTGTTGCTGTCTTGCCTCGGGCTGGAAACTGCTAGACCTTTTGGTGCTTTGGTCACAACAGGATAACATAACGCTTCGTAATACTTTTGGCAGCCTGTTTAGTTTATTTTTTTTTAGTTTTTATTCACTTAAAGATAAAGTAACAATCATAAGGTCAGTAAAATTGTGTATACTTCAGAGTTAAACACTTACTCTTTAAAGCAAATTGCTGGAATACTGTTATATTATCTTCAAGTCACAGCACCGACTTTACAAAGAGAGGTTCTAGTGGATGGAAAGTCAAACAATGTCATATTGTGTACTGTAAATTTAGCCCCTTCTTTCGTTTTTTTGGTCTTGTGTATTTAAATGTGAGAGGGTGAGGATAAACAGCTCCACCTTGGCATGTGATTCTCCATGAAGTCATGAATGGAATTTAGGGGAATAATGCAAACCACCTGCGCTGTGATGTAGATCCAGCGGTGAGACACAGAAAGCAGCAAAGGCACTGAACGGAGGGAAAACATTTAGCCAAAGAGCCACAGAGGTGTACACACACACGCGCGCGTCCCAGCGCAGGAGCCGGGCCCGCCGCTCCATACATCACCATGATGAAGCACTCAGATCAGAGCAGAGCCAATCCGTCCTTCATCAATGTGACAGCGGAGGCAGTCGTGGAGACGGGCCCCCTGTCCCCCTCGCTGCCCAGGCGGGGAACGCAACACGTCGCAACACTCTCTTACATGTCACGCTGCCACTCCATCAATCCTGCGCTGGGTATAAAGAGAAAGCACAGCTCATCAGAGCAGACAAGGCCACACAAACACCTCAGCTGTGCTCCTCAGTGGCCTGAGTGGCAGACATTAACGCTGCTGTGGTTTGGGGTCCCCCCTCGTACTGCCTGTCTGGCTCTGTGGGCACAACACAGCATCAGGCTGGTGAGAAAGCAGATTAATCTGCACTGTGGGGAGGATAGAAACCGGACAATTCTGCCTGCTGACGGCTTCAGCAGTAGCTTACGGTGAAATGTAAAAAAAATAAATTGTGTGTGTTGTGTGCAGCCTGGTTAGGCAGTGGGACGGAGATGTTTGTAAAGAGAATTAATCAGAAGATTCACAAAATATATAAACTTCATGATAAATTGAACACAGGAGCAAAGTGCCACATGTGTGCACAATCGTAAATAAATTGAACAAAGTGTCATAAAACCTCATTTATCCATCATATTTCAGGGAGCAGCATTTAATACACATTTTATAATTTAAATGTAACCACAGCAGTAGAAGAGGAAAAAGTGATAATACTACAGCATGAATACGTTTAAACACAGAAAAGCTCTTTGTTTCAAATTGTACTTATTATTAACCAAATGGCCTGATAAAATATAATCAGTAAAAGTGATGCAGAATAAGTTCTAAAATATAGTGTTGTGTTTTTATTGTTGACAGATTGCTGTGGAA